AAACAGCTGGCACACCTAGGTAGGCAAGAGAGATGGAGAGGCTCAGGTAGGCCAAAGGAGGTGGTGATCCTATCAGCAGAAGTGTGTGGAGATGAGCAAGCGGTGTTCCTAGTCAGTGTGTGCCTGGCAGGGTTCAGTTCAGCGGGATGTCTCCTCCCAGTCCCCTGTGCCGGCCCCTGCCTAGGAGCGATGGAGTCTCTCGCTCCTGGCAGTCCGTCTGTCTCTTGCAACCCTTGGCTCCTGTGCTTCACCACTGCTGAGGTGTTGGGGTAGGGCTGTGTCAGAGAGAAACTCCTCACAGGGCTTTTTATGCCTGACCCTTCTGGTCTCACAAGGCCAGTGCCAGTGCCAGGTACTGTAAGGTGCAAGAAGCAGTACCTCTTTACAGTGGTGTGGCATGATCATGCACTGAAACCTTCTCAGAAGAGATTTCCTGAACCCCTCCCCAGTCTCTGAGCAAAATGTTGGGGAAGAGGTTCAATCATGCTTCATTCTAATAATGGGAACATGGGAAAAACATGCTTGAGAGTGTTCTGGTCCTGCAGTGTTTCTTGCTCATGCTGTCCCTGGATGTTCAGGACATCAGGAGAAGTGATAGAAGTCGTGTAGAAAATGAAGTATTTCAAGATTTAAAACTACTCGGCCTCTGGGTGGAATGGGTAGGTCTCTTCTGTAGTCTTATATGATTCACTTCCTGTTTCTGCTCTGACACTGCTCTTTCTGTGCTTCTTTTCTCAGCACGACTGAACCATGGAGCTTCGAGTGGGAAACAAATACCGGCTGGGCAGAAAGATTGGTAGTGGTTCGTTTGGAGACATTTACCTAGGTGAGTGTGAGAGTCTGTCTCAAGGTTGGTTTTCTCAATTGCATCATTGTTTTGGGGTTGTTTTTTTGCCTGTTGGTATTTGTGGGCACCATGTAAGGTTGGAAGGGGTGGAGAAGAGAAAAAAAACTGATGGAATACTGCTAGTGGTTGCTGGCCTTCTCAGGGCAAAGAAAGGGGGATGAGCTCAGCTTTGCCTTACCACATACTGGAGACAGTGGTGGTTGATCAGACTGATTTAGATTTGGACTGTTTGGGATATATTTGTCATACACCCTATTCCAGCATTCTCACTTCCTTTTCTTGAGCTTGGGTGTATGTGGGTATAAACTCTGTTCACAGAGTGCGTGGTGGAAAGGGAGGTCATAGCTATTCCTTCAAGGACAGAAGGAATACAGTTTTGGGAAGACTGGTAGTGGAAGAGGTGGTCCAGGACCTGTAAGAGAAAGGTCTGAGACTAGGAGGTGTAAAACAGGTCAGGGAGCCTGGCCTGGCTGAAGTCCTGGGGCCCAGATCTGTTGGATCTGTAATGGGATTTAGAGTTAATGGCTGGAATGACCTGAGCTGGAAGCTCAGTGGACAGAGCCCATGAGGTGCTGGGTTTCCTGTTACTACAGCAGGTCACCTGGGTAGCAGTTCTTCCAAGCCAGTGTGCTGATGTGTAGATATGTTCCCTGATGCTTTGCCTGCTCATGCTTTTATTGGCTCAAACCATGTGGGGCCAGAGTGGCGAGACTACCCAGCAGCCTGCTCGATCCCTCCATGAGGGCTGGTGTTACCTGTCTCTGGTTCTCACCACTAGCTGTTCTGCTGTGGTTCTGCAGCCTGGCAGAAAGGCTGCCCTCTGCTTTGGTGTCTGCACCCTTTGGGTACTTGCAGGTGGCCATCATGTGCTCCTTGACTGTTAATTTGTTGAGTTGTATTTTGCTTCCCAGTACATCCACCACTCCTAACTTTTGCTGGTCCTTCAGTTTTTCCTAGTTTCTTCATCTGTTGAGCAGCTTGGAGCCAGCACTGCATTTAAGGTGTGGCATTTCCAGTGCCTGGCAGTGGAGGACTACCCTCGAGTGATCTGTAATGTGATGCCTCTACATAGGCTGCTTTGGGTCTCCTTGGCTTTCCCCATCACCAACACTATCAGGTTGCAGAATTGGCGTTAATGCACTGTCAGCTGTATTGTAGGAGAGATCTTTTAGGATCTCCAACATCTTCCCATACCTCCCCAAATCCCTTTCATTGAATACCTCTAGTTCAGATTACTTTTTCCTGTGATTGTAAATCGCTGTCTGTTTTCAACCTCTGGATTTTATCTCCAGTTCTCTCTTGCTTTATTATTCTCTCTTGATTGGTGTTGGCAGCCCCTCTTGATTAAGTGTCCTGTGGGAATCATCAGTAACAGGCTTTGTTGCCACCTTTATCTAGAACATGAACAAAAATGATAGATAATGGACCTGGGATCCCAGTTCCTCTGTGTGCTGCCTTTACTGCAGCCCGATCCTGTATGCCGCTCCTCTGTGACCCTCCAACCAGTCAGTGTCTTGGGTGCTTTTAATTCCCAAGTGATAGCTGATATTCTGATATCAGCTGATATGCTCTTAATTCCCAAGTGATATTCAGGGGTGATAGCTCAGACACAGCATTTTCCACCTATGCTAGGGCTTGAAGTGTTACAGATCCTCTCTAGGACAGTATAAATTGTCAGGATCTTGCAAAGCATCTGGGGTACATGTGAGGAGAGGAAAAAATGGAAAGGCCTGATCCTGTATTGCTCTGTACCATGTAACAGGTCATCCACCTGTGCAAAGCAGGTATGGAAAATAGCCCCTGGTGAGGGGGTTGTGCCTGCCTTGCCTGTCACCAAACAGAGGAAGCCCAGTGACCCAGTGTGGTGAGCACAGCAGGATTCAACCAAGTTACTTGAATGCAGTATCAAAGCCCTTGTGATGTTCCTTGAGGTGCAAGCCAGCATGTTTTGAAGCAGTGATAGCGAGACTTTGTGGAGCCTGGGTGACTCCCCAGCCTGAAGGGATTGGGCATGTAGTCTGTGGTGGTGCGTCTGGAGGACGCTTGTGTTCATGCTGTGCTCTCACAGCCTGCTCTGCAGACAGAAGGACTCATTCACGAGGACTTCTCTCCTGCGCCAGGTTCACCTCACAGTTCTCTCCTTTAATAATGGTTTGGACACAGAGCAGGGCTTGTCTGTCTCTGAGGATTAGCAGGGGCTGTATGGTTTATCCTCAGCTTCTCTCTGAGTGTTATTACCTTCACCTGCTCCATAAGCAGTGTGGGGTGGTGGTTTAGTGTCATTGCTGTCCTCTTTGGGGTTTGTTTTAGGTTTTTTTGTCGGTCAGAAGGAAACTTGGGTTTCTACATGAGTTAGACACAAAGGATGGACTGTGTTAATCCTTAGCTGGGTCTTGAAGCACATTCCTTCTGTGCCCTACTTTTAGGGATAGGTGTGCTAGGTGAAATATTCTCCCCACATTGGTTTGAGAGGGTGGGAAATGAGATCAGGCTGCCAATGGGCCTTGGCTAGCTCATTTACCTCTAAAAATGCTCGTTCAGAAGGGCAAAACCCAGTTTACAGAGGAATTGCCAAGACCTTTGGGCCGCTGGAGGAGGAGGTGCTTTGTCAGAGGTTCTGGCCAAGAGGCAGGGGAGGGTTGCTGGACGTGTAGGAATCGTTTGGCCGGGATGCACACTGGTGGTAGAGAGGAGCTGGGCAGACAAAGCATGCTGGGACCTGAGCTGGCTGGGGACAGTTCCTGGTGGCAGGCTCCTCCCTTGCTGGGAGGGGAGTGCCTTCCCTTTGTTTCCTGGCTTGTTAACTCTCTCTCGCCCTATCTGCCTTCATCCATCTGTTCCCAGCCCTCCATTCTTCCCTCGGCAGGCTGTGCAGAGGGGCACAGGCGGTGGGGAGTGCGGGGCCTCTGCCCGTTGCCCCCGATGCTCAGGGAGGGCAGTGTTTATTGTATCAGACATGCAGTAGGATTTCACTCTGAAAAGATCCTGTTCAGCCGGTGACATCCTCTGTCCCCGGGGCCCTGTTTCAAAGAGCTTGTGATGAATGAGTTGAATTTGTGCAGCCCCCACAGCGGAGCGAGACTGGGGGAGGATGTTAGGAATTATCCCCCATCCTACATTCAGTCTCTCGAGTGGCTGAAGCTAACAGACTCTGCTGTATTTGTCTGAAACATGGTGCTTTCCAGTCTGTAAAGAGAGCACAGAACTGTTGCTTTTGTACTTGTAGCTTTAAAAAAGATGGTGGTCGAAGCATGGAACAAAGGATCAGAAAGACTCCTGCCCTTAAATTCCCTCCTTGCTAGTGTTGGTCTCAATCTGGGTGGATCTCTAGCCAAGAAATAGTACAGGGAGCAACTTGTAGGATGTGGTGAGGTTTGGGGAGGGAAGAAGCCTGAAGAGTTCAGACAGTGACCCTCTCAGCAAAGAATAGGCCAGATTGGTCCAGAGAAGGACCATAATAATGATTAGAGGGATGAAGCACCTCTGTTATGAGGAAAGGCTGAGAGAATTGAGATTGTTCAGCCTTGGAGAAGAGAAGACTTTGAGGTGACCTAGTTCCAGCCTTCCCTCCCTGAAGGAAGCCTACAAGAAAGACTGGGAGAGACTTTTTGCAAGGGTGCATAGTTATAGGACAAGGGGAATGAATTTAAGAAATTCTTTGCTATGAGGGTGGTGAGAAACTGGAAAAGGTATCCCAGAGAAGTTGTGGATACCCCATCCCTAGAAGTGTCCAAAGCCAGGTTGGATGAGGCTCTGAGCAACGTGGTCTAGTGAAAGGTGTCCCTGCCCATGGCAGAGGTATGGAAACTAGGGGATCTTTAAGGTCCCTTCCAACCCAAACCATCCTCTGAGTCTACTTGTGCTCTTCTAGGCTGCAAGGTTGTTTCCTCTTTCTCTAAGTAACATTTGTGTTTGGGCTACGGAGAGTGTGGGGCTGAAGGCCATCTTAGCATTTGAGTCTCATAATCACATTTGGAAGAATTGGAGTCTTCTTCATGCCTATCCCTGCTTTCCCTTTTCCAGCTTTTTGTGCTCACAGATAACACTCCTTACCTGCAGACAGCCTAGTAGGTGGATACATCTTCATATTTCTGAACACCAGGGGTAATGTGGAGAACTCAATCATGTTTCCACTGTTCATGTTCTGGGAATTGGGTTCATTCGAAATGCTAATGCTGCAAAAAGTCAGAGAGACTCATCATTGCTTGTGTGTCAGAAAATGTATTGGGAGAAGGGAGAATTCCCTCTGGGGAACAGACAAGGGAGCTGCTTCAGAGATTTGGAGGAAAGTCTTCACAAAGGCAGAGGAAAGAGACAAGGGAAGGAAGTGCTCTTATGTTTTTTGTATGTCCTGGGTGTTTCCATGCTGAATGAGGGCCAGTGGTTGAACACTAATTTAAAACGTGGACAGATATTAGTCCCTTTTCTTGCTCTTTTCCTCCTTGCACTGCCTGGTGCTTTAAAGAAGGTTCCTGTGGTGGAGTGAAGGGATATACAGACTTGTTTTTCTGAACACCAGTTTTTAAGTGGAAAACGCCAGCATCTTTTCAAAAGTAGTCATTGCGCTAATGTTTCTACCTCTACTTCTGTTTTTTTCCCTTTCTCTTCTCCTGGATCCTGTGTTAAAATCTGTGTTAAATTAATCCCATTGCTCCTCCTTCCCCTCCCTTAGAGCACCCTAAATAATTCCTCTCCCTCCTTAGTGTTTACAGCCTTCAAATATTTGTAGACTGTTGTCATGTCCCATTCTTCCTCCCCACCCTTCTTAGTTGTATCTCTTGTCTATGTTACATATTTAGCTCTTTTAATCTTCCTTAGTAAATCAATCCCTCTAGGCCCTGATCCTTTTTGTTGCTCTCTTACAAATTCCTAGCAGCTTGTCTGTCTCAACCCGGCACTGCAGCATCTAGATCATGTGTTTTTGCTAGCAGGTAGCTCTTGGCTAACTTTGTGTACAAGCCAGAACTCTTCAGCTGGAGATGGATCTCTTTAGGATCCATGGGGAGAAGCAATCCAGTTGTGTGAACATTTCCTTCTTTTCTTTGGTTCCTGGCTCTGGAGGTGGTGTGTGAAAGAGGATAAGTGAAGAGATTTATCTGCAGCTTGTCCTTGTGAACTCTTAAAGTCTTATCATGGAGTTCAGGAGGCACAAATTAGCCAGACCTACGAAAACTAGCTATGGGATATCTGCAAAACATCACCTTTGAGTCCAGCTGATGCTTGGCAAGCATGTTCTGGAGTCATTTGTTTTACAACGGCGCTCATAAGCTGCTCGCAATCAGGGCTGCTCTCCGATTTGTGTTTAAGTGCACTTTCTAATAGTTCCAGATAAGAGGAAGGGCTTGTCAGAGTGTGTGAAGCAGGCCTGGTGGGGGAGGAGAGAAGCAAGTCTTGAGTGTCATTCCCGTGACCCATGTACAGATACTCCTTTCCGTTTTAGGATGATGTGAAACATCTGGACTCCCTTCAGCTAGTACAAGAAAAAGAGCAGCCTGTTCCTTCTTTGACAGTGCACTTTGGGACCAGAGTGCTGGCTTTTGCAGCTGGCAGCTCAGTTGTTTTCAGAGAGAAGCGTGTGGGGTGGTGGTTTAGTGTCATTGCAAAGTGTCTAGCAATACCTTCAACAAAGGTGTCCAGGCAGCTTAATTCAGGACCAGATTCTGCTTATTTCTTCATGCTTCTAATTTGTGATAATAGCAAATGTTTCTGTGTTGGCAAAAGATAAAGGTATTATTAAAACCCTCAGGAGAGAGAGAAGCTGGGGATTTAGAAATTTTCTATATTGAGCAGGTCAGTGCTGTGGAGAAAGCAGAGAGAGCTGGCATGTTAGTAATGTCTCATCCTGAACTAATTGGCTGCATTGAAATGATGTAACTGAGGTAACCAGTAATTTTGCTGCAGAAGAGATACTCCATATCACTGCCTTAGGGGCTGCTTGGGTTCTGTGGCCAGGTTTATGAACAGAGGAAGCTACAACTTCCACTCGATTTAGGTACTGTTGATATGTGCAGATTGACCTTCCAAAGTCTGGCACCTTTTGAGATAACAAGGCAGTTCACGAGTAGGATTGTTGTTCTAGACTGACTTCAGTATCAGACCTGGTTTCCTATTCATGTGCCTCTCTCTGGGCTTGCATTTACAACTGGCATTGCTGGAAATGGTATGAAGTGGCTGAATCTTATTTCTGTCATAGAGAAAAAAATTCAGGGCAAATCTTAAGGTTTTGGCATCTGTACAGGCCTTGTTAAAAGTGTTTTAACTTCAGTAGAAGCTTGTGCAATCTTCATTTCACTCTCATTCCTATGCAGGAGCCAATATTGCGACTGGTGAAGAGGTGGCCATCAAACTGGAATGTGTCAAAACCAAGCATCCTCAGCTCCACATTGAAAGCAAGTTCTACAAGATGATGCAGGGAGGAGGTGAGATGGGGAGGAAAGGATGGGGCCGGGGGAGTGGTTGGAGAAGGAAATTATTCTGGAGGGCTTTAGAAAATAAATTATTTGGTGCTACACATGATCATCTCAGCAGGGGATTCAACATCTATTCTCTCTGTTCCCTGGGCTTAATCCTTTTCTTTCTCCAGTGGGTATCCCCTCCATTAAGTGGTGTGGAGCAGAGGGAGACTACAATGTGATGGTGATGGAACTCTTGGGGCCCAGCCTGGAAGATCTCTTCAACTTCTGTTCCCGCAAATTTAGTCTCAAGACAGTTCTGCTGCTGGCAGACCAGATGGTAAGTTTCCTCTGGAAGCATTTGTGCCTACTCTTCCTTTTCCATGCCTTTTCCTCCCCACACACACTCCCCTCCCATCCCCTCTGCTTGAGAGCTGCTGTATCCCAGGCTTTCTTCATTTAGCACAAGTGGCTGCCAGCTTTCTATTTCTTGATGAAGTTGGGGGCCTGGAACCTAGACACTCATGGCATTTCCTTATCTCCATCCCTCCTTCCTTTGCCTGCTGCTTGCCTCGTGTTAGTGTTGCACATATAGATACTTTTGCCTGCATGATGAATTATTGGCACTGATCTTAATTCCACTGCTCATGTCCTTAGCTCTTCTGGACAGATCCATTCCTTTCCTAGCCCAGCTAAGTTTCAAAGTTGACAGATGTCAATGCTGACGCTCAAAGTTTTAGTCCCTATAGACTTGCTTCCCATCCTTCCTTGTGATGTTAGTGGTGACCTTCCCAGAGTGAGGACTGGGCTGGTGTGCAGGGTTAAATTCCATCTCCAGATCCTGCAGCATCCAGAGCGTGTCTTTTCCTTGGCTGTCATCGCTGATATTCAATGCAAAGTGTCTTTTTCTTGCTCTGACAGGCCAGTGTCTTGGACAGGGTACTGTTTTTAACAGATGCATTTAAAATAAGTTTGTTTCTTGCCTCTCTCACTATTTATTTATTTATTTATTTATCTACCCCTCCTCCAGATTAGCCGTATTGAGTATATTCATTCCAAGAACTTCATCCATCGGGATGTCAAGCCAGACAACTTCCTTATGGGCCTTGGCAAAAAGGGCAACCTAGTATATATCATTGATTTTGGTTTGGCCAAGAAGTACCGAGATGCCCGGACCCACCAGCACATCCCTTATCGGGAAAACAAGAATCTGACTGGCACAGCCCGTTATGCCTCTATCAACACCCACCTGGGAATTGGTGAGCCTGCTTGCTGTTGCCTCTTGGTGGGTCTTTCCAGGGAAGGTTGTATGTCCCCAGAAGGAGGGAGTTGGGGTCTTTGCCTGACTCTGCTGCTGACCTGCCTTGAGATGGTGGGCAAATAAATGCTACCGACTGTGTTACTTCTGCTGCTGTGGTGGCACTCTGAGCTCCTGAAGACAGAAATCATCTCCTGATGTGTTTGTGCACTGCTTAGTGCAGGAGGCCCTATTGAGCATCATGGCTGTGACCTTCCTGACTCCTACTAAATCTGCCTTTGCACAATTTCTGCAGTCTGATTAGATGTGTAAAGGAGACATTCACAGGCACTGAGCCTTTAGGAATATGTGCAGTTGAAACCTATCTTTTTTACTCCTGAGTGCCTTTGTTAGTGATCTGTAGCTGTCAGAGCTGGGAGATAGAGGCCCACTGCAGTAGGGTAGTACCCACCACTAAGGATGAGGATGTGCTGGGTATGTACAAGAAGCTGAAATGAGGGGAGGCTTCCAGCTACCTGGATGGCCCTGTTTCATGATTGAGGATTGGCTGTCACAGGCCTTCAAAATACAAATGTGTCTGTGAACTGCACATACCCAATGAGGCAACTTCAGGGAATTAGGGTTCTGTCCTTAATGTGTATGGTTAGTACTGAAGGGATTAAACTAGGCTGGAAAAAGAGTGCTCAGTGTTCAGATGAGTCTTACACTGGTGATGACCATCCCAGATTTTGTAAAAACCTTGTACAGGTTAGTACCCATAGCACTTCCTGAAGTCATCCAAGCTCTTGTCCTGGGAGTCAGCCCCTGGTGGTTGTGAGGAACATAGTTGAAAACCTCTTGTAGTTTTCTGTTCTCTGTCCAAAAACTTCTTTCCAGCATTTGACCTCCTTTCTCTGCGAAATTTTAGCTAAACTTTGTTCACAGTGTGAGCCTTCCTTAGTTAGCGTAGGGTCCATTTGGAGCAGGCTTGACTTGGTTCTGCTATTGACTGACAGCTCTAAGGAGCAGAAACACAGATGCTGTCTTGCCTGTTGGACCCAGGGAAGTATCTGCTGTGCTTACATATTGTTTGTATCTCTGGGAGGCCCTTGTTCTGAAGTGTATAACCTAACCTTGGAACTTGAAAATCAGAGCGAGGCACTCAAACCTTGTAAATTAACAGCTTTCACAGGATTTCACATCCTCATTCTTCCTGCGTTCTTCCCTCTTGCAGATATTTCTCAGATATCAGAAGTCAGTACTTGGCCTGCAGAAAATAAAGCAGGTTTTCCCACTGTCTTCCTTGCTTAATACTATATAATTTTAGATGGAGAATGCTTTATTTGTATCAAAATGGGGAGTGTTTGTGTGTTGAGAGTGGGCTGTAATCTCCTGACCTCTTCCATGTTATAAAAATAGTTCTCATAGAACTTTCTGAGTTGGCCTTCTGTATTTTGGCTTGACCTGCATATATATAACTGACTCTCCATTGAATTCTCAGTCAAGATTTCCACAGCCATGGTAACTGCCACAAGGAGACATGCACAAAATAATTCTCACTGCTATGTCTGTCGATTCTTTTGTGTGTGCCTGCTCTGCCTGAACTGATCACGAGAGGCTAAATGTCTGGTTGTGGCTTTTGAACGACTTCATTATTCATTCCACCCCAACTTAGCCCTTTACTACTGGTGCTTGGCTTGTATGTCAGGATGAACAAACAATGTCTAAACAGTAATCCAAGGGCAAATTGCATATGCCATCAGTCTGAGTGCAGCCGCCGCTCTCTCCATGCCCTTTGCTTCGGGAAAGTCTGGGTGTGAGTTACTCTGCGCAACAGGTCTCGGGTGTATTATCTCCACGTTGCAGATAGTTGCCCTGAATGGCATAAAGGTTACATGACTTGCCTGGAGGAAAAGGGGTGGGGGTGTTTGGGTTTCATCTGGAGTTCCTGTTTCTCAAGACCTTGCCACAGGGTATATGACAGAGATGTTTGTGAGTTAGCAGCATTGCTATGGGAACCATCACTGAATTTTTTGACTTTTCAGAGACTAAATTCTCTGTCTTAATGTTACCTTAATGTGGTCTAGGGAGAGGGAAGGAACCAGGTGCCAGGGTATTTGTGTGACAGGAATAGCAAATGAATAAATGCCTTTATTTGAATTTGCAAGCTAAGGGTTGGGCATTCCAATGTCTGGAGGAAACACATTCTTTTCCCAGTGACCGGGGAAAAAAGTAGGAGGCAAAACTGGGGAGGGTTCCACAGCTGGAGACTTGCCATTGTGGGAGTCATTGGACTGTGCAGGCTTTGGTTCACGCATTCCAGTCAGTTTTCACATGCTCTAGGGATGAGAGTCCCTTGCACTCACTGTAGCCTGTAATGTCTGAAATAGATGCCCAGGGTGCCCAGGAGACAGTCTTGGAAGAAGCCTGATGGTCTCTGTCTGGGTGACAGAGGGGGTGGGGGGGGCAGTGCCTTTCCAAATGAATGTCCTAGATGATATCGATGTAGGCTGTGCAGATCATAAGTCCTCCTGCTCATCCTGCTCTCTGTCATCCATTCCAAATTCTTGTGTGTTTTTAAAGGCTGTTGCCGTGCAGTGGGGAGAGAAAGGGGAACTCTAGTCCAGCATGTGCAAGATCAGATCTGAGTATGTAATCAGGAAAACATTGCTTGGTTAAGCCTGCCTGCAGCTGGGCTGGCTCCAGGGAAGACAGCCGATTTCTAGGGAGTTCTGCATGGGAGCAGCATAACTTTGGTAGGATCAGAGTGGAAGAAAACACTCTTTGGATAGGAGGACCAGGAGATAGTTTAGGCTACAAAGAAACACGTTTTGTCATGACCTTTGTGTCCGAGGGAACCAGTCCTCAGTCTTCGGTCTTTGCCCAAGCATGTCTTGTCCTGCCACTCAGCCCTGACTTGGCTTCTGAGGACCCTGCTTTGGGAAGGGAGTGAAGATGTGGGCTGGCTGGGAACCTCGCTGGGGGTGGGAGGGAACTGGCAGGAGATTGCTTGCAGAGTGGGTTGGGTTTGAGAGGTCATACTGGGTTGTGTGGGAAGGCAACCTTGTGTTTTCTCTATTGGAAGGACTTTTGTGAAGGAGGGGGGGAAACGATGAGTGTCTTATGAAGAAGACACTTTTCATAAAATTTGCTTTCAAGAAAAACCCCTCATTGTAGGAGAGCTGAGATAAAATGGAGAGAGGAAGTGTGGTGTGATATCACAGGTCACGACTATAATCCTGCTTCTGGACTGACTTGCTCAGCGGATGCATTCATGTCACTTGTATTTTTCTTTCTCTTTTCAAACTCCAAAGTGAGATTTATTTTTTTTTCTTGCAGCCCAGGGATGCTATGAGAGTTAGTCACTGATCGTCAGGTTTCTAAAAGTGGAAGGTAGTAACACTAAATAACGTTTCCTTGGTGTGTAGAGGTGAAGTTTTATTTAGAACTCTTCATTGTTTAATGTTATCTAGTGTCCTGAGGATGTTGGTATATGAGGCCTGGCAAAAAAAGTAATTAAATATTAGGAGATGTGTAATAGTAACTGAAGATGAAACAAAGAAAGAGGATGTAGGAATTGTTGTCCTCTACCCTCCTTCAGGGTTTAATTCAGTGTCTTGTACATAGGGTTACAGGTAATAGACAGACTGCTACAATGTTTTGAGATAGCTGCACAACTCTGACCCACCATGTTGGTACTTCAGACTCATCACAGCTTTGAGTCTGGCTGAAGCTGTTTAAGTGGGCTACAATGACCACATGTATGTGGGGTGCTGAACATGGAGAGTGCAGTGCAGTCAAACACTTACCATTTGGCATTTTAATAATTAGGTGTTGCGCTTGCAGTTGTTTTTCCTTGATCGTATTGCTGTGTTAAGACACAGTTGTGTTTGCATGCACGTAATGGGTACTAGTTAGCTTCCCAATTTGGTTTTTAACCCCTCTCATTGCCTTCAGTGAAGGCTTGTAGAATTCCCCACTGACTTCAGGCTCCCTAATCTCAAGTCTCTAATTCTGGCTTTCCCTAAAGTGCTAGGACTGTGCCCAGGCATATGTTTGCAGAATGTATCCGGTTCTGGATGGGATTGTTGGCTGTGCTCAAAACTGCCCTGCTTCACACAAGTGGAGGTGTGTTATTCAGCCTGCCCTAAGCAGTTTGGAGTCCAAGCAGGATTTTGGAGGCAGCATCCTGATTTATTCCTGAAAGGCTGATTTGCTTGTTCAGTAGGTTTCTCTGGTTCTTGCCCTGCCTTTCCGTACTCCTCTGATGGGAACCACCATGCTCTAGTCAAGAAGCGTCAGCTAGAGGTGTTAAAGCTACAGTGTGGATCAGTCAAGGGCTGGCAAGACTACAGGACTGAGGTTATCCTTGTCTCCTGTGCTTTCAAGCCCTGGGTGTGTGTTCTGACTCCATTTCCACATGCCTCCTGTCTAGGGATGTAGGTCATTAGCCAATATTGTTTAGTTTTGTTTATTTGATATGCATGGTGAGTAATCACAGCCCTCTGAGAGTACACGTATCCCAACCTTAGGCTAAATGCAAAACTGGGTTTCTTTTCTCTGCTCCTGTCATAGCATCTAACTATCTCCCAGACAGCCATGTAATTATCTTTGGCAGTAGCCTGATAAGATTAGGAAGTATTAGCCCCTTTAAAGTGGGCAACTTGAGACAGTAAGTTAGTGAGGTCAAAAAATGCTGTGATTTCTACATGCTCAAAGTGAGACACTTTAGGAATGTGCAGGGCTGCTCTCTCCTCTGCCGTCTTGGAACGTGGCATTTTGATGGAGTTTCATGTGCTTTAACCCAAATGATTTCTCCTATCAGTTATGGAGTGATGAGACCCTCCTTTTCTTCTGCAACCACAGTAGTTTTTTTCCCCCCTCAACAGTTCTAACTTGCCAAGCCCTCAGTTCTCAAAATAACTAGGAGGTTATGAGAGAGATTCATGAAGAAGAAAGAGCCTTGTGCCCCACAGCTTGTGTTGTTACATGTGTATCTGTGACATGCTACAGGTACTCTTCTGTCAAGATTCAGCTCAGCTAACAGAAAAAGGGACAGCTGTAGTGATCTACTGGGCTTGGAATGGGGCAGGTGGTAGCATGCATCTGATACAGCCCACAGACTAGTACATAATCTGCAGCATCTTCCAGGATGTGGCACTGAATCCGGCAAAATGTGCTGTAGTAAATTAATATGATAAATTAAGATCTTTAGTCTTTCCTCTATCCCTGTGCTCTCCTTTAAGCCATATTTTGCCTGCCTGTTATGTGTGTCAGTTGTTGTTGTTCTGGAGATGTAAAATACTTTCTCCAAAGTGTTTATTTTATTTGGGAGGGAAACAAGAGCAAGACAATCTTGGCAAGATTTATAGATGAATTTGCAAGCAATGTTGGAGGAGTTAACCAGGCAATATTTGCAGTTGTTGAGATTCTGCATCAAGTCTTTCTTGAGCTGGCTTGAAACTTAAAATGGCTTGGCTATTCCAGAGAACAAGGTCAGTGTGAAATGTTGGGGGTATTTTTTGTAAGCCAATTTCTTTTGTTTCATAAGTAAGCATCTGAAGATGGGTCCTTCCAATGGGAAGCAAGGGCAACCTTTGGTCAGAGTAGACTTGGTAGTGATGCTAGTTACACAGTCATTCCCCAATTGGAGGGGAATCTTTTCTTCAAAGTATGCTCCTTTCCACCACAGCTTGAAAAAATGTCACCAAGCTGGAAAGACATCTTTGCACATTACATGTTAGGCTTCTACTACCAACAAACTATCAACAAAGTTGTTTACTACTAGAAGGGGTCCCTAGTTCCTTGTCCTGCTCTGCTTAAAGACTATCAGCAGTTTGATTAGAAGATGTGTTTGAAAGGGCTGTGTTGGACTTACTGTTAGCTTTGTCTATCTGTGACTACCTCTGTCATGACTAATCCCTGGATTGAAGAATCATTCTGGGTGGGGAAGTGTAGGTGCCCTTCCTCTGGGACTGGGAAGAGCAAAGTAGGCAGGGTTGCTGCAGCAGTTCTTGAGATGTGAAATTCTTGTGTGAATTAAGGCTTGTCCAAGTGAGGAGGTAGTCAGAGTCATTAGTTATGAAGTGGGTTGGGCAGTATGTGGAGAGGAGCACCTCAACTCTTGTAGTATGATCATCATCACAGGAATTTGCTCTGGAATGTCTTCTACAAGTTTGACTATCTATAGAAATCCACCAGAAAAGACAGAGGGGTGGTTGTTCTGTTCAGTTTTCACCTCCAAAGCTATGTGATTGCCAAAGCAGTTTTGGTCACTGCTCACTCCTTGCCCCTTTGTAACTTCTCACAGAACAAAGTCGCCGTGATGACCTGGAGAGCCTGGGTTATGTGCTCATGTATTTCAACCTGGGCTCGCTGCCCTGGCAGGGCCTCAAGGCTGCCACCAAGCGCCAAAAGTATGAGAGGATCAGCGAGAAAAAGATGTCAACGCCCATCGAGGTGCTGTGCAAAGGGTACCCTTGTAAGTGCTCTCAACTTGATGGCTGTCTTGTCTGCTGCTTGGCTTGTTCACCTGCTGAAACTCCCCAGAATCCTGAATCCTAAAGGGCAGTGCCCAATACCACAGACAAAGATGTGCTGCTGCTGACACTGGTGATGAGAAGGATAGCAGAGAGGTCGTGGTACAGTTCGGGTTCAGAAGTGGGAAATGTGTTTTTGTGAACAGTCAAAATTACATTAGTAAGGGCATGAGAGTGCTGAGAGGGGGGATCTTTAGGACTTTGTGAGCATTTTAAAGGGGGGTGGGCGTTGAGCTGAGAAGGTATGCTGATGATGCTGAATTTTTACTGGTTAATGAGGAATCCCAGGAATAACAAGGCAGTAAAGTGTCAAATGCAGTTTTTTGTAGGTAAACATGAAGTAATGTATGTGAGAACAGAGAGAAGTCTTGGTCCTTATATCATGTGCACAATAGTAGGTGCTGGCTGACCAGTGCCACTCACCAATGAGCTGTTGCAATTACAATCGATGGTTCCGTGAAAACATCAGCTTTGTGATCAGTGGCTACTGAGGAAAGGGAGTGTTAGAAATTACTAGAAAAGAAGCCCAAACAGTGTGTGTAAATCCATGGCCCACTTGCACCTTGAATGCACTGCATAGGTCTGGTCCATCCCATGGTTTTACAAAGGATATGGTATAAATGAGAAAAGGCCCAGGAAGGGCCAAAAGGGTGACCAGAGGTGAGTTGATTTCTGCCCAAGTAACAAGTTTGCTGGAAAAAGAGGTGGGTAGAAAGATGATAGAAGTATTCTCTTTGGCTATGCCTACAGAAGTTTGGATGGGAGCTGATAATTTTGTGGCCCCAGTTTTTTTTATTGGAAGAGAAACAATGCTGGTTTCTGCCAGCTTCAAAACAAAAGGATATGGTTCTTCACACAGCCAGTAGTAGATCTTGTGGAACTCCTTCGCAGAAGATGTTGTGGATACTTAAATCTTACAGGAGTTTGAGGAGAGACAGAACAAGTATGTGGAAGAGAGATCCTGTGAGGATTACTAAATAGTTAGGAACTACATCCAGATCAGGAAGTTCCTGGAGCTGAAAGCAGGTGCTGAGCTAACGTCAGTGGAAGTATCAGATGTATCTGCCTCACTCTTTCTCCTCTCATCTACTTCTGGCCACTGCTTATGACAGGCTACTGAGATAGAAGGACTTCTGTTCTGAGTTGAACTTCCCAAAGCTCATCTCCAGCTCTTTAGGCCTGCATTCCTGCTGTCCTTCAGCAGGTGCTGTGACTTGCTAGTCTTGCTTGGAGAAGCCAACAGAAGGAGATGCATAACATTTTCTCTGGTAAAAAGAAAGATGGAGTCCTTTTGGTGGCCAAAGCACTGCCACTAGCAGGCTTTGTGTTACACAGTTCTGTGTTTGTGCTGTCCTGCTCCAGCAAGCTGCTGTTGAAAAGCTGCAGCGGCTCCATGGTGGGACCAGGGAGGTTGGATGGCCAACAACAGCCATCAGCTGTTCTCTGCTCTCTCCAGCTGAGTTCTCAACATACCTCAACTTCTGCCGTTCACTGAGGTTTGATGATAAACCTGACTACTCGTACCTGCGGCAACTCTTCCGCAACCTCTTCCACCGCCAAGGCTTCTCCTACGACTACGTCTTTGACTGGAACATGCTTAAATTTGTGAGTGTGTTTGGCAAAAGGGCTGGACCAGGGTTGGTTTGTATCATGGAGATAAAAACCATGGGGGAGGAAGGCTGGAAACTGCCTACTGTCTGTGCTTACTGCTGGTGAACAGCTTGAGCAATGGGACCAGGTAGAGTGAAAAAGAGGCAATTGTTTGGTGTATAACTAACTGGGGATATAGCTACTGTTGTATTAGTGAGTGTGTCTGATGAAGCACGTGTGTCAGTAGATCTATAGCTAGAGGTAGGTAGAGAGAATTTTTCAGGAGAGAACTGTATTTGGAGGTGGGATACAGATGTGGATTGCAATAACAGCTGTAGTTCATGTGTTTTCTTATCTGTTTTGTTTTGGAATAGAATGAGGTCCTTTCTTGGTGCAGTGCAAGGTGGTGGGGGGAGTTTTGGGGAAGGGCCCCACTTCCTTGGCATAATGGAGCACCGTGTGTTTTCTGTCCGGGGCTGCTGCTGTTTGTCCTGCCTGACAGCTGTGTGTGTGGTGTGGGGGTTTCTCTACTCAGGGAGCAGCCCGGAACCCTGAGGATATGGATCGGGAGCGGCGAGAGCACGAGCGAGAGGAGAGGATGGGGCAACTCCGAGGGTCAGCCACGCGAGCGCTGCCCCCTGGCCCACCTGCTGGAGCCACTGCCAACCGTCTTCGCAATGTCACCGAGCCCATGGCCTCCACCCCCACCTCCCGAATCCAGCAGTCCGGTGAGGGGGGGTGGGAAAGCTGGGGGAGGGTGCCACCCCTGTTGTTGACTGGAAACCAAAACTGATATTGTAATATTATTGTCACAACATTTCTCTGCCCCAACAGGCAACACGTCCCCCAGAGCAATCTCAAGAGTGGACAGGGAGCGGAAGGTCAGCATGAGGTTACACCGAGGAGCTCCTGCCAACGTCTCCTCATCTGACCTCACAGGGCGGCAAGAAGTGTCACGGATTTCAGCATCACAGGTGGGCTCCTGCTGCAGTATTCCTGGCCTTGGCCGGGATGTCCCAGAAGGTCTACAGGCCCCAGAGCAGTTTTTGCCTGATTTGCTAGAGCTGACGTGAGCTGGAAGCTTCTGGTGTGGTATGGGGAGTGGTACACCCTTGCTCTTCAGTTTTGCATTTTCTGGAGGCCATGCTGCCATTTTAGCTCTCTGCTTTGCCTGGAGTAAGCCTTCATCTTGTATTCCAGACCACAGTGGTTTGGACAAGCAAAACGGTAAACTCTTGAGAGGGAGGGTGTCCTGAGAAATGTGCAGGCTCTCTGTTTTGGTGCCTTTTTTTCTTTTTTCTTCCTCTCCAGCCCTTAGCAACTCTTCCTTTTCTTTTGTAGACAAGTGTGCCATTTGATCACCTTGGGAAGTGAGGAGCAATTGCCACTGGACCAGTGTTTGCTTAGGTGAGCCTGTACTCATGCCTGGGAACCCCTAAGGAGGAAATTGCTGGGAAAAAAAGCCTTAAGTTAAGACTTTATGTTGTTGTGGGGGATTGGTATATTTCCTTTCCTTTCAGCTTACTTTGAGATGTTTTTTGGTTTCAGAGGAAAGAGTAACGTTAACTGCCAAAACCTTGAGGGGACAGATTGTCTTAGTTGTAAAGGTAGCTTCCATTTCTCCAGGAGGATAGGAAGGGTGGAGAAGGTGCTGGGCTGGGGAGCCATTTCATTAGTTCCTCATGAATGCTTTTCTGGCAGTGTGACAGTGTTGGGGTGGAGGGTGCTGAGCAGGTAATCAAGTGTGCAAGACTTTGTATAGCTACTGAGTGCCTCTTGTAGAGAAAACCACAGTAGCTGGGCGAGGTACCTTTGAGGGGAGGCAGGAGTGTAGAAGGAAAGGCTGATTTGATTTGTTACACTCCAACTGGCAATGGAAGTGATGGGAAAAGCCTTTACTCCTAATATCTCTTGCTTTTTTCTCTCTTTTGAATTCTCTTTTTAGTGTCTTCACTGTATTTTTCTTTTAAAAAACAAAAAACCCAAAAAACAAACAAAAACCTAAAAAAAAATAATAAAAGACAAAAAAACAAACAAACAAAAAAACCCAACAGAATTTCTTTTTGCCAACGATGAGGAGTCGAGCTGTGCCCCCGCGCTGGTGTGAGCCGTTTCCAGAGGGCCACCTGTCCCCGGCGTGAGCACCTCCAAGGAGCTGTCGACGTGGGAGCCGTGTGGGAACACCTGCACTGCCCCCCAGCCCCTACTGCTGCCCCCACTGGCTACCCTCAGTTCCCTCTCCTGACTCTGCTCCTGGTTTTGATTTCTATTTTTTTTTTTTTCTTGGATATCTTCTCCTGCTTTAATTTTTTTTTTTATAATATTGTTTTCAAATCATATGGTTTCTAGCCATATAAATTTAAACTTTGCTCTCCTTTTTTTCTGAGGGCAGGGGTTAGTGGTGGGTGGGTGAAGTATTTTTTTGGTCTTTTTTTTTGATTTTGTTCTTTTCAGGAGCCTTGTGGGCCAGGAGGGAATCAGATTCCAGCCACACTTGATGGTAGAAGTCTGATTTTTATTACTATAATGGAATTTATTTTCTCAAGCATTAAACACATTTTAAGCTGTGAGGGGAATTGTGGCAACAGCCTAATCATTGACTCGGGCTTCCTTTCCTTGGGTGGCTTCTCTGCAGTTTCTTTTCTGGCTGTTGGGAGAAGTGCCAGCCTTCCCTGTTCCAAGTGGTCCTCAGACGCCAAGGGATCTCTTTGGAGAGACACCTGGTCCCATGGAGGATGGGATTGTTGGAGCTGACATACAGGGAGAAATATACTTCTCATCCCTGCAGCGGGGTCTTTTTTTTTTTTTTTTTTTTTTTTTTGTCTGGCTGTGCGTGTTTTTCTATTTTTATTTTTTAATTAAAACTTGTTTTAATTCCTGCGGAGAGAGTGTGGGACTTGAGGAGAAGAGAGGGGCGCACAGAAACTGGAGTTTGGAGTTCTTTCAGAGCAATGGTTCTTGCTCTCTCCTTTCCTCATACAACCCCAAGTAAGATCCACCAATACATGCACAATCCCCTCCTGCCCTCTCCCACCTGTCTCCCCCCTCCTTTTCCCCCCCCACTTTAGTTGTTTTTAAATATAATTTAGGAATACTCAAGCTGCTTTGTGGCACTTGGGGCTTTGAAACACAATGATCACCACTGCGACCTATGGCCTGTAGCAGACACACTGTCACTGTAGTGTGGTGCCGATGGGTTGTTGGCAGGGCGGGGAGGGTGGGGTTAGTCTTTGTTTTGTTTGTTTTTACCCTTTCTATTTAACACTTTATTTTTCCTCCCTGTTTTTTTCCTAATTTATTTACCCCTCTTACTGTCTCTCTCTTTTTTTTAATTAAAGAGCAAAACTTTTTATTACTTTGTAATTTAAAAAAACAAAAAAAAACCTGAAGAACTTTGGGGGGGATTTTGTACTTTTTTCCTGTGTAAATATTGGACTTTTTTGAGCTTTATCGTGGTTGTTAATTTGAAGTAATAAAGTAGAAAATGATAAAGTGATGCCAGCATCTGTCATTTCTTCCTTTAATGACCCTGGCACCTTTGCTGGGAGTTGCATCTTAGACACAGGACATGGTCTTGTGGCTGAACCTGTTTCTGAATTCCAGGAACAAGTTTGATCACAATTACTGGAAAAAAAAGCACAGGACTGGAGCGCCTAAAAATAAACCTGAGCTGATCTCTGCAGTTGCAGCCTTGGAACAGGCGAGAGTTATGTGAAATCTGATTCAGGATCTCTCGGTTCCTGGATCTGAGCCTCTGGCGTCCCATGCGTCTGGCCTTGAGGAAGAGAGGGATGGGCCTTTCCACGCCGTTGGCTTTGGGTGTGCGCTGACTTGGACAGAAGTGGACCCTGGATTTTGTGGTTTTTGCTTTCTTCAAACCTAAGTCCTGGAGGAGAGAGGCATGGATCACTTGACAGCACAGTGCCTGATGCAAACGGACTGACATCCCTGTGAAGTGGCACCTGCTGCTTTGGTGTCTGCCGTGGTGTGGTTTGTTTGGGTTTCTCCTCTGCTTGTCTGACCTGTCTGGCAGTAAAATACTAAATTTTAATACTGATTTATTTCTAAATTGCTACTCCTATAGTTATGCATCCCTGCATTATCCTGATGAGAGGCCTGTTTCTTCCAGGCTCTTTGAAACCCTTGAAACTTATTTTCAGAAACCCCTGCTGGGAATAAATTATGGATCTTGGTGACTTTGCAAATTCTTTCCAAGCTTGTTCTCTGCCAGCCAGCCAGGAAGAGCTGTTCCTTTGTTTCCCTGGTGCATGGGTCTTCAAGCTCCAGGGATGAGAGTAGGAGGGAGGGGAAGAGGAAGGTAGTTCCAGGCGTATGGGGTGTTCTGCAGTTAGCTCTATGCTGCATTTGCCCTGCTTCCATTTTGAGTGTGCTTTTGCTGGATCAGAACGAAACTGGACGTTTTCCCTTGTAAATCCTGTGATTTCTGTGGGAGAGGGGAAATGTTCCTTTGCGAGACAACACCACCATCCTTGCCGTGTAGTGGAGGCAGCAGAGCCGTGAGCTGGCAGGGTCCAGGAGCACTGTGGGGATGTTTTGGGTAGGAGTTCTGGCCTGGGACAAAACGGGAATATACGCTGCCATTTTGGGGCACGTGTGGTAGCAGCTCCCTATCTGTTACAAGACGGGCAAGTGGACTTCTAATGCAGCAGGAGGAGAAAATCATCACCTCCTTTTGCTAACACACTCGTATTAAACGTTCTAGGGCGTGGTGCTTTTGCTTGGTTTCTTTGTTCGGCTTTTTTCTTTAAGACTCAAAGTGCCCTGTTCAGACTTAAGTCGAGGCACGGCTTTGGTTTCCAACACCCCTGCGTACCTTTCACTCGGGGTTTGGGGGAAATCTGCCTGAGGCAGGCCTCTTCCTGAGGCCAGTATTGTCTTTACCCGGTCCGGCGGGGGAGAAGAGCTGCTGGATCGCTGGACCTCCCGCCTGCCCGTTCCGGGAAGCGCATCCCTCCGCCCGGCGCTGCGGGAAAACTCCGCGTCACCCGCCCCGCCATCACTGCCCCTTTAAGAGAGGAGCGGTGACGTCACCGTGTTCCCCCTCCCTGGCGGGCAGTGGGCGGGGCGCGCGGTGCCGTGCGCAGGCGCGGAGGGAGGGCCGGGCCGGGCCCGGCGTCGCCATGGGCTCCTGAGGCCTCCGCGCCCCCGCGCCGGTGCCGGCGCCGCCCGCGGGGCAGCGGGCAGGGCCCGACCCGACCCCTCCTCGCCCCACCGGGCTGGGCCGTGTCCGCCCGCCCGCTGCATGGTAAGACGTGGCGGGGGCGGCTGCGGGCGCGCGGGCCGGGCCGGAGGGGCCGCGCTGGCGCGGGGGCGGCTCGTTGAGGCGAACTCACCTTGCGCTCCGCGCCGGCCCGGTGTGGTCGCGATTCCTGCTCCCCCCAGTTCCTCCTCCCGTCGCCACCCAGCTCTCCGCCCCGTTCCCCCCCGGTGTGCGCCCCCTTCTTAGGGCTGTCCCCGCCATTCCCTTCCGCGCACATTCCTCCCGCATGGCCTCCTTACCATCACACACAGCGCCCACCCCCGCGTCTACCCACAGCCTCCCAGTGCAGCTCCCACAGCCTCGCCCCCACCCTCGGTGCAGCCCACCCAATTCCTTCCTCTCCCTCCTTCCCCGCAACCTGTCCTTGCTGCAGCTGTTCCTCTCTCCCTATGCATTCACACGCACCAGCACAGCCCCCTCGTTCCCCAGTGCTGTCACGCTCTTTGGTGGCATTGGGTGGGTGTCACTGCACGGTGTGTCTGGTCCTGGTTGGGCTGGGAGCTCAGTAGACTGCAGTAACGTGGTGGGCACCAGGTTTGTGTTTGCTGGGTTTCTTTTGATTCAGACTGGATGGACTGACAGACGCCTCGTGCATGTGCTGGTGTGGTAGGTGTGTGAGGAGGCTGTTTCTGTGCCTGTGTTCTCTTGCACTGTAGGTGAGTTGTGGTGGGTCTTGTTTGGATGCTCGTGGTGTCTCGAAATCTCAATTACTCTGTGAGGGCTAAATTCAGTCTTGGCAGCTGCAGCATGTAGTGGAAAGAGGGCTTTGGAAGAATGTGTGCGTGACTGAGTTCTGATGAATTGTGGAAAGGGACTAGAGTGATTTCAGGGACAGCTCTATGAAAGCTGCCTGGAACACTCTGAAGCTGTCAAGAGTGGGTGGAGGAGGAGGAGGAGTGGGAACTCTAGAGGAAATAGTGAAGATGGCTCCTGCTTATAGAAAGTTTGCAATTGTTCTTGCCATGTAAGGAGCTTGAACAGGAGTAATTATTGAAGACATTAAGACAGGTTTTCCCCAGAGAGAAGGCTGTTTACCTCTGTTAAAGATAAAAATAGAAGACATTGATCAATAACAGAGCAAAGGCTAATAGGGTGAATAGAATGGCTTTCCTATACTGCAAAAAAACCCCAGAAAACAATAAATGAAAATGTAATAGAGCATACATCCCGCTAACAAAGACTCGGCTCTTTTAATACAGCAGTTAACTGTGCCTTTGAACTTGTGTTGCTGGATGTTACCCTTTGGTCTAAGAGCTTAGCAGCCTCCTTAAAAGGAAACACAGATTTCTCTAGAAATCTTCATGTTATTCAGGTTTCTAATAATAAATGTTTATATTTATGTGATACTGTTGGCAAAAAAAATAAACTCTCTTGCTTTTAGGATGTTGGCTAAGTACTAAACAACAGGGGTTTTGGGAGAGCTTTTCTTATGGTGAAGGTATCCCAGAAAGGCCTACTTCAGGCTTTCTTTTCACTGTTGTCCCCAAGAAAATGGGCTTCAAAGCTGCTCTGGTCTAGGGGAGCAGGTTTTTAGGTCCTTAATGCCATCATTATTAAGGTTGTGCTGTAAACCCTATGTGGCATGGAAGCAGCAGGTGGGTACCTCTGCATCTGAAGCAGGAGTGATTTGGTCTTGCTGCAAAATGATTGGGAAGCTTTACGACTGAAGTCAGCATTTCTAACCAGCTCCATTGTGGACAGATGTTTTTCTTCGTGTTCTGCTCAGGTCTCTACCATCAGTTCTGAGCACTGAATGGGCAGTGTTTCAGAGGTGTGGGGCAAGGGGATGAGCACCTTCCAACCACTGGGCACCCTTTGGACTTTAGTTTGTCTGTCTCCTTAGGACACGTGGCAGTTGAAAGGGGAAGGTTCTTGGATAAACTGGTCAGAAAATGAGTTTCAGTGTGACTGGCTGGTTTGGCATAACAGAAGCATTCTGAGCTGTCTGGTCTCTAACCATTTGACAGCATCCAGCTAGAAATCTGCCTGGTTCTCTGTCAGCTTCTTTATCTGTTTGCTGGTAGCAGGCTGGGAGGTGAGCTTTTGCAATTGTGGGATTAGTGTTCTTTTATTCTCATGGATAAAGGAAGGGTGGGTATTTTTTTTTCCTAGCACAAAATAACTTTTACAACACCTCCTTCCCCCTCAAAAAAGGTAGTCCTTTTTGTACCCAGTTCTGCTGCAGAATTAACTAAAACATCTAGTAATCGTGTTTTGGTGTAAGATGACAACCTTTTAATTTCCACATGAGGAACTTACCCTTCATTCCTTCTCCTTTCCTGTTTTGGTTTTGTTTTTAATTGGCTTGTGTTTGCATTAAGGGAGATAAACTGCTACCTGCTCCTTTTAGCAGAGTTTCCTGTTTCATTTTCTAGCAGCTCTGCTATCTTTAAGCTCTTGCAGCAATATCTGGTGGAAACAGTGAATTCCTCAGGAGATGTTTGTTGTCTGGTCCTAGCTGCTTCAAGAGCTCAGTGTTGTACTGAATGAAGTTTGAAGTAAAAGACGAAGTTTCAAATCAGACTTGCTGATTCTGAAGTGCTACTGCTATGACTCATTTCCTCAGTGTTTCCAGCCTAAAACTGAGGAAACCAAGGAAAGCAGCAGAGAATGTACAGGTTGATCTGTCTGTCTACAATATGAAGAGGATAGCACAGCCTCAGAGAGAAATTGCATTTAACCTTCATACAGTCGAGTTTTCTAGTACGTGCCTGCTGCTGGCTGCTGTGTAACAAAGCAACTGGGTGTTACTGAACGGCCCTAGCTGGGGACAGAAGCTCTTCTCTGCTTTAAAGTTCGTGATTGATTGTACTTGCCAAGGCCCTGGAATTTTGAGGTTGTAGAGAATACTACTGGTTGGGAGTTTTGTGTGCTGGCTTGCCCAGCTGTTTACTTGGAGCGCTGTGTCTGTTGTGTGCTGTTCTTGCTTCTTCCCAGACTCATTGGGGTTTGCTTTTTTGCGGTGGAAGAGCTGTTTCCTGTCAAGGCATCACACCCTACCAGAACGTTTGGGACTCTGAAAGCAGTTTGACACTGTTACAAGAT